CAACAAACATTTTCAGCTATTTTGCAGTTTCGTGTTGTGAAGCAGCTGCATAAAAGCTGGAATTCAGATAAGGCAAAAGCTGTCAAAATGGAGTAATCGGTTCTATTCCTTTAACTCTAGATTTAAGACATTAATTATGTATAACGCAAATGATAACTTGGCTCTGTAAAGTTTATTCGATTGAGCCTGTACCAATAAATTAATACAAAAAAAACTGTCAAAATAGTATGAGTACACGGAGATGAAAAACTAACCAAAATTAAGTACTTTTCCCTTGATTCCCGGGTTCAACCCAATAACGCAAATTTGAGTAAATCGCATATAATAGTTTACATTTAACACCAACAAAAGAAAATACTAACTCTTAAGTATATGCTACCCAAATTTAAGTTCAATTCACATAAATTTGAGAATATGCAATTTACTCAGAAGTAACTTATTGAGCTGAACCAAAGATATCAAATTAACAAGATATCCCACTAATCAATTCCTCATACAAGGCATATAATTACCACCCGAATGTGATCGCAGCGCCATCTGTTGAGTGCACATTGAAACTGTTGGGAGTTCCCCGCCAACTTTACCACCTGGGCTCAATAACTGACAGGTGTCAGCATGACAGATGTCAATGCGGACGTTGATGATCAGCCGATGAAAGAGGACGATATCATCCTCGAAGTCATCATCATTATATTGCGATAGCAAGATTCTTACTTGTTTGTGATTGTTCCGATTTTCAATCATTATCACTTTATACGCAACAGGAATACTTGAGAAAACCATCACACATCCAAGCGCGCATCATGATGTGCTTGTAATGTGTTTTACTTTCGAGCGAAAGAGTGCCGGCGCCGGTGGTGTAGTGGTAAGCGTGACTGCTTTCTAACACTCCGATGGGTCTGGGTTCAATCCCAGCCGAGGTCGGTGGGATTTTTCTGAGGCATAAAAATCTCTGGTCACGTCTTCCTTCGGAAGGGAAGTAAAGCCGATGGTCCCGGCCCATGTGTGTTTGAATGGGTGCGATATCCTACGCAGGTGTGGAAGCTGCCTTCCTGCACATTCGATTGCCGTCAATGGATGGCAATCGATGTCCGTCGGTGATTGGCACTAGATTGCGGAACAGAGACCGACGTTAAATAAAGGAATGAAGAAGAAGAAGAAGAAGAGCGAAAGAGTTTCCAATATATCACCGGTATCAGTAATACCACAAACGAAGTGACAGACGACTAACTGGCGAAGAAATCAATTAAAATAATGTGGTTCGCTGTAACAGAATTTTCTTAGAAGCTTGTGCCATCAGCCACCAGATGGGCTTTGATTTGAACATAGTTGATTTTGTGTGCAATATGATCTTTGAAAGTGTGCAAAGAGTGTATCATTTTGTCATTTTTTTATGCATTTTCGAGCCGCTCCGTCTGTCACTTCGTTTGTGCTACTGCCATAGAGGTAACTCTAAGACCAGAAGGTCCCGAAGAAACGAGCTCAACTTTTTGGCTCAGCTCTGGTACTATCTTCGGTCCCAAGCTAATCGATGCACCCCTCGAAACATTGGAAAATCCACGAACCCCTCGTTTTATCTGTCAAACTTTCATAGCGAATCAAAACAAACATAGGGTCGTATGAATAAAAGCGTTTACTTTACTTTCCCCGTAAGAAAAGCACGGGAAAGTAAAGTTAACTCTTTTTATTCATACGGCCCATAGTGTAGTACTGGAATTTATACTAGAATGGGATACGTTAATCGTTGTTGTTGTTGTTGTTGTTGTTGTTGTTGTTGTTGTTGTTGTTGTTGTTGTTGTTGTTGTTGTTGTTGTTGTTGTTGTTGTTGTTGTTGTTGTTGTTGTTGTTGTTGTTGTTGTTGTTGTTGTTGTTGTTGTTGTTGTTGTTGTTGTTGTTGTTGTTGTTGTTGTTGTTGTTGTTGTTGTTGTTGTTGTTGTTGTTGTTGTTGTTGTTGTTGTTGTTGTTGTTGTTGTTGTTGTTGTTGTTGTTGTTGTTGTTGTTGTTGTTGTTGTTGTTGTTGTTGTTGTTGTTGTTGTTGTTGTTGTTGTTGTTGTTGTTGTTGTTGTTGTTGTTGTTGTTGTTGTTGTTGTTGTTGTTGTTGTTGTTGTTGTTGTTGTTGTTGTTGTTGTTGTTGTTGTTGTTGTTGTTGTTGTTGTTGTTGTTGTTGTTGTTGTTGTTGTTGTTGTTGTTGTTGTTGTTGTTGTTGTTGTTGTTGTTGTTGTTGTTGTTGTTGTTGTTGTTGTTGTTGTTGTTGTTGTTGTTGTTGTTGTTGTTGTTGTTGTTGTTGTTGTTGTTGTTGTTGTTGTTGTTGTTGTTGTTGTTGTTGTTGTTGTTGTTGTTGTTGTTGTTGTTGTTGTTGTTGTTGTTGTTGTTGTTGTTGTTGTTGTTGTTGTTGTTGTTGTTGTTGTTGTTGTTGTTGTTGTTGTTGTTGTTGTTGTTGTTGTTGTTGTTGTTGTTGTTGTTGTTGTTGTTGTTGTTGTTGTTGTTGTTGTTGTTGTTGTTGTTGTTGTTGTTGTTGTTGTTGTTGTTGTTGTTGTTGTTGTTGTTGTTGTTGTTGTTGTTGTTGTTGTTGTTGTTGTTGTTGTTGTTGTTGTTGTTGTTGTTGTTGTTGTTGTTGTTGTTGTTGTTGTTGTTGTTGTTGTTGTTGTTGTTGTTGTTGTTGTTGTTGTTGTTGTTGTTGTTGTTGTTGTTGTTGTTGTTGTTGTTGTTGTTGTTGTTGTTGTTGTTGTTGTTGTTGTTGTTGTTGTTGTTGTTGTTGTTGTTGTTGTTGTTGTTGTTGTTGTTGTTGTTGTTGTTGTTGTTGTTGTTGTTGTTGTTGTTGTTGTTGTTGTTGTTGTTGTTGTTGTTGTTGTTGTTGTTGTTGTTGTTGTTGTTGTTGTTGTTGTTGTTGTTGTTGTTGTTGTTGTTGTTGTTGTTGTTGTTGTTGTTGTTGTTGTTGTTGTTGTTGTTGTTGTTGTTGTTGTTGTTGTTGTTGTTGTTGTTGTTGTTGTTGTTGTTGTTGTTGTTGTTGTTGTTGTTGTTGTTGTTGTTGTTGTTGTTGTTGTTGTTGTTGTTGTTGTTGTTGTTGTTGTTGTTGTTGTTGTTGTTGTTGTTGTTGTTGTTGTTGTTGTTGTTGTTGTTGTTGTTGTTGTTGTTGTTGTTGTTGTTGTTGTTGTTGTTGTTGTTGTTGTTGTTGTTGTTGTTGTTGTTGTTGTTGTTGTTGTTGTTGTTGTTGTTGTTGTTGTTGTTGTTGTTGTTGTTGTTGTTGTTGTTGTTGTTGTTGTTGTTGTTGTTGTTGTTGTTGTTGTTGTTGTTGTTGTTGTTGTTGTTGTTGTTGTTGTTGTTGTTGTTGTTGTTGTTGTTGTTGTTGTTGTTGTTGTTGTTGTTGTTGTTGTTGTTGTTGTTGTTGTTGTTGTTGTTGTTGTTGTTGTTGTTGTTGTTGTTGTTGTTGTTGTTGTTGTTGTTGTTGTTGTTGTTGTTGTTGTTGTTGTTGTTGTTGTTGTTGTTGTTGTTGTTGTTGTTGTTGTTGTTGTTGTTGTTGTTGTTGTTGTTGTTGTTGTTGTTGTTGTTGTTGTTGTTGTTGTTGTTGTTGTTGTTGTTGTTGTTGCGTTTTTTGCCTTGTCAGCCAATTTTTGCTGACTCAAACGGCGCGATACACGAGCGCCGTAGTCCATTCAATCTGGTCACACCTTCCGGGTACCAAGAAGTCTCCATCCTGAATCAGTGGCAACATTGTTGTTTTGACGTCGATATGCTTTTATTGGATGCATTGCCATATCATTTAGCGAGGTCATATGGTTCTTAATGGCAATAATATTTCCAGTAGAACCACTGCTTTTATTCGCTGCCAGCTCTTTTTTTATATCGGTGAGCAGAATGTCGAGGTGATCGATCGCTTTATGCACAACATCAACATTATTTTGCTGAGCTCCGTGTGACTTCTGAGTAATTATTTATTATTTTGGTTAGTTTCGCCTGCTGATCGATTAGCAATTTGAAATCAAAGTTCATTGTGACTAGCACTTGACACGAACTGCAGCACGGTATGACATAAGATTGAGTGTCAATCTTTTTGTCATTTTTACGAAGCAAGTCACGTTTGACAGGCACTCCCACGCAGGCGGCATGAAATGTGCGCGTACATCCGACGCACATTACTGTTTCGACGGAGGAATCAAGTGAGCAAATTTCAACTCATTTTGAACAGAACATTCATGTTCGCGTTCCTTTAATGATGTTTGTAATGAGTTTGATTTTACTATGTCCAAAAATGTGTTTAGTAATAGAATAAGAGGTTAAGTTTAAACAAGTTTTAGTTTTAAGTAATCAGTCTGTACGATGTAGTCGAAGACGGTGTGCAATAAATAAAATCAACTGCTCTTCAACTTTATCGAAAATATGAACCCGTTAACTCGTAACAGCAAAAAGTTAGAATTCGGATGGCCTGATTCCGGATTCATTCCTGAGTAAGTTTCATGGCTGATCATTCCTGATCCCTGATTCAGATTGCGGCGTTGCTAGTGTATTAGGATGCTTTGAGAATTAAACTCTTGGTCGCTGGGAATGCTTGTGAATATTTGAGGTGGACAAAGGGGTGAACAAAGAGGTTAACGCCTAAGCATGTTCACATCTATATATCTGTGAAGCAACTGTAAACTGTAGAAGAAATTTATATCTGCAACTGTAACCAGTTCGTTTTTGATTGCTAAACTACCTTAAGATGTTATAATTAAGTTATGAAATAAGGTTGCCAGTAGAATACTTAAAACAGCAAAAAAAAAACAACAATGTTCAGTCTCTAAAGACATCCAAATCTGGTTCCGATTCTGCACGTTTTAGTTTAATTTTATACCTGTGATTTTGACATGTGCCATAAACATATATTTTTGAGAAGGTATGCTTCGCGTTAACAACCCTGGTAAGCCTCCACCGGTTTGAAATTAGCTTTAACAAATATTATGCATTACCCAAACCTCGTAAGATATATTAAGATATTGTCTGAAACAAAGTTCATTACTTACCTATATATTGGTTCGTAGTTCATACTTCCTTCGAGATGCAGTATTGAATCTTTGGGTTTTGCTTTCTCAGGTTTTTGAGTTATGTTGGGGTTACGGTAACTACTGCAGTATTCAGGCATACGATTTATGAATTCCCCATCCAAATGAAGATTATCTTCACGCTTCAAATACGAAGGTCGGTCACATCGGCTTAACAAAGGGTTTTGATACCGGTCCTTATATTCCGGTGTTAGCCTCAGCATTCCACTCAAGCATAAGTTATCCAATTTCTTGATTGTAGCGCTTTTTGTGAAATGATCATAGCTTTTGTAGCATTCTTTATATTCGGATGGCATGTCACTGAAATTTCCGGTAAAGTTTATGTTATTTAATTGTGGTGTAGACTGTGATTTTTCTATGGGGAATTGAATATATCTTGTTTTATATTCTGGTTCATGTATGGCGTCACCCGTCAGCCTCAAATTCGATTTTTCAGCCTTCTTCTTATTGTGCAACGTTGATTCCGAACAACTTAGTTCATTCGGTTTTATCTGTTCTTTTCTAGTAATCATTTTGGATGGTTTTCGTGGTTCGTATAGAAAATCAGTCAATTTGTATGGAAGAAATGATGAACGATATTCTGAATACTCTGGTGATCTCTTAGACCCATTGAATGTTTTTAGGTTTTCCGCATGTTTTACCAGGGGTGGACGAGACCTGAAATATAACATTATGTTCTACGAATTTTCTCAATCATTTAAAATCATCAAAAGCTTACTTGGCAATAGATTCCTTAGTGTATGCTACAAAATTGGAGTGATTCTCTGATTTTTTGTCCATATTTCCCGATTCTATTCGGAGCGTTGTGTGTCGCCGACTAATAGGTGTCTTTTGCTCATAGTTGTATTCATGAAAATGTTCTGTGTACTCAGATTCAAATGACACGTGTGGTATAGAAGGCTCAGATTGATTATACAATGAAAAGTGGCTTTTAAGATGATCAGCTGTAAAGACAATAATTAGGCACTGTAATTTAATAAAATCTTTAGAATATTTAATCAATTAAATAGCTCTAAAAAGCTTAATGCCAGCTTCGTCAACACCTTTGCGTTTTTTTTTTATAACGGATATGTGAATTGAAAATTACTTAATGTTCGGATGAACCACTAGCGTAGTAAAGGAAACATCCTTGGGGAGACAATAACTAAATTTAAAACAACAAAAAGTTAAGCCCTTATCTACAACTACAGAACTTGATGATATTCTAGATAACTGTCAAGTAGTAGGAGGACTTTTAAGTGACTTTCGATTATGATCAGGCTTGAAAATTTTGGGAAGTTGAACTGCAAGAACAAGGTGTATTAATAAATTGCATTATTTCTTGATGACTTTGAAGTAGCAGGAGAGCGTTAAGTGTAACTAAAGATCTCAACCCAAAACTATGTGATTTTGAACTGCAACAGTAGGTCGTTTAAGTTGTCTATAGAAACATGATGATTGTTTGAATAATTTTGAAGCAGCAAGAGGTCTATGTAATTATTGATCTCTTTTGAAAATTTTGGGAGGTTGAACTGCTACAACAAGGCGTTTAAGGTGTCTTTAGAAATTTCATGATTTTTTGGATGAGAAGGGCGATTAGGAAGACTAAAGATATCATTAAAAATTGTTTGCAGGTTGAACTGCAACTGCAGGGCGTTTAGTGTAAGTAGAAACATGATGATTTTGAAGTAGCACCTTTATAATTTTCAAAAGAGATCAATAGTCACTTAGAAACCAGTGACTATTAATCTCTTTTGAAAATTTTAAGAGGTTGAATTACTTGGGACCTTGGGGTGTCTTTAATATTATCGGTACAGTTGAAAATCGGAATAACCAATTTGCGACAATCGATTTTACTCGTTGAACATCATGTCGGAAGTAGAGCGTTGTATAGCGCATCATTGTGCGATTACAGCGCACTACTTCCTGCACTATGTTTAACATTCAGAACGAGAGAAAAATCTGTTGTCGATAGTAGGCTATTTCGGTTTTCAACTATACCGATAGTATTCTTTTTATAATTGTTTGGATAGAATAAAAATATATTGTGTGGATTAAAAGCATCAGGCGGGCGCATGGCGCACGCTAATAGCTAATAGTTTTGTCCCCTGATTTCTTTTCCGTCGATCTTGTTTTCCGTTGAGTACCAATGCTACCGACGCCAGGGAGGCAGCTCGCACACCTGGACCCTACCAATCGACCCATGAACTCATGGACCGGGGACCAACGGCTGTACTTCCCTGTGATCAGAGATTTTATGCCTCAGAAAATCTCGGCGGCTCCGACTGGGATTGAACCCAGGTCTTTTGGAATGATAGGCAAACACGCTTACCACCACACTACCGGCGCCGCTAACGCCAACAGTTATTACAGATTATTACCTATATTCTTCTTCTTCGCATATTAGCTTATTGCCAGAGACGTTGATAGAGACGCGCAAAGAAAATTTCTGTCAAAATAGCAGCACGGTTTTTGAGGGATTTTTTGGCAATGCCACTGGCAACCATGTTTCTTCGAGCGGCTTCAAATGACTTTCATAGAGTGCCGCAATGCTGTTGAGAAAATTTGTACGTTCGACCGGAACTGAATAAAGCGTTTCGTTACTTTTAGGCTGAGAATCCATAAGCCGTACAAATAAGTATGCCAGTCGTTCCATGACAGCATAACTTTTGTCATATTTTACTGTTTTGCTTGCAGTGGAATCATTTTTATTACCATAAAACTAAATGAAACGTTTCAATTCTAAATAGTTTTTAATCACTAAAAAATGTTGTATTTATTTGAATCAACAATAAATTAATGTATAACAGGTATAAAATATTTCGTGAAAATAATTAAACTCTTTTTTAATCATTGAGAACAATACTCCTTTCTGGTGAATTGAGCAAACAGTAATGTTTATTTACTTTGCTCGTTTGATTCAGCGTTTGACGATTCGTTTGGTTCTTCTTGTAGCCGGTGCCGGTGGTGTAGTGGTAAGCGTGACTGCTTTCTCACCCCAATGGGTCTGGGTTCAATCCCAGCCGAGGTCGGTGGGATTTTTCTGAGGCATTAAAATCTCTGGTCACGTCTTCCTTCGAAAGGGAAGTAAAGCCGTTGGTCCCGGCCCATGTGTGTTTGAATGGGTGCGATATCCTACGCAGGTGTGGAAGCTGCCCTGTGCTCTCAACTTATAGCGATTTTTTTTATTATCCAGTTCCAACCTGGATCGGGTATCAAGATCGGCTCTGCTTGTTTTCTAACAAACGTCAGTTTAAACCTACCTCAGGTTCAGGTTCGCACTGACAAAAAGTTCGGTTTCACACTGGGTTGGAACTGGTTCCTACCCCAATAATAAACAAATTCACTATTAGTGTTCTACATGTATTTCCACAGTTATTAATTGGGAGCTTTCGATGCCTGGTACCATTTTTGCATTAGTATAATTGTGTGGCAAGTACAATCATACTCAACCCGGGGAAATTGAGAAATTTTCCAACTCGAAAAATGTCTAGACCGGACCGGGAATCGAACCCATTCACCTCCAGCATGGTATTGTTTTGTAGCTGGGCCTTTACCGTCTGAGCTACCATACATCATACATATACGTAGTAAGATTTTCCAAAAATAGAAAATACTTTTTTTTTGACGTAGGACTACGTCTTTGATCTCTATATTACACTTTGTGAAAACCGAAAATGGAACATGTAACAAATTAAGAAAGATTTTGAACGTTAATAACTCAGCTGCCCCTGGTCCAATTTCAATAATTATATGGCTACGCATCGATAACAATGCTTCCGAATGTTGATTTTCAACAAGAAACTATTGAAAAACTGGTAAATGTCCAGCATTGTCCAGAAGCGTCGTATTAACTAACAAATCCACCAATTATCTACATGCATATGCTGCTTCCCCAGCACAGTCGTCAGAGAGTAGTAAGTAGACGAAACAAGTCGAAGTAGCATTCGCCTACGATCCTAATAGGGAGGATGGAATTGCGTAATATTTTGCACACTCATCGCCAGGGTTACTTCCACTCACTTGCTATAAAAAAATGTGTTTCCTAATTATGAAAACATAAGATGTGATAATAATAATTAGTACTTGTAAGTTACAAGAAGACGTTGTGAAGTATGTGTTTGACACATAAAACCTGTCAAAATTGCTTTCAGTGCGTCAAAATCAGCGATTTAACGATTCATGAGCGCCCACTCAGAGTGAACGCTCGCGAATCATAAGATCGCCGATTGTGACGCTCTGAAAGCGAAATTGACAGGTTTTATGAGTCAAACACATCCTTTACACCTTTTTCTTGTTACTTACAAGTACAGCATATCATTGTATCATCTAATGATCTCATAGTTTAGAAAACCATTGTTTTATAGCAAGTGAGTGGAAGCAACCCTGCTCATCGCCATATTCAGAACCAAACGCAAATTCTTCGAGATTACCACCATCCGTCGTCTGGCTCGCCGTGGCGGTGTCTGACGTATCTCCGGTCTGATTTACGAGGTGTGCTGAAGGTGTTCCTGAAAAATGAGATCCGTGATGCTGTCACCTACACTAAACACGCCAAGTGTAAGGGGCCATGGATGTCATCTACGTTTTGAAGTGACAGAGACGCACTCTGTTTGGTTTCGGAGGTTAAATCATCACCAACTTTGGCAACAAAACGGCTCTTTTCAGGGCCACCAAGCTTATTACAGTAAAGAGCAGGAATACAATTCATCTGCCTGTTTGTCCATATTCGGAACCAACGATCACACAAAATGCTCATGTAATCAAACTGGAAGCAGGGGTACAAATGATTTTGATCAACTTTGAATCGCCACGGCCGGATATTTTCGATGGAAGAAGCAACAATCTAGCATCTAATTCGACGAAGACGGCAGGAAACATTTGTGAAGCCGATTTATTTACGAAAGATAGTGTCGATGAAGAGAATTGATCAATGTAGATAGGACCTATTGAAAAGTGATGCGAGATTTGTTTTCCGTACACTCAAAAATATTACAAAACGAATATAGATTAAATTTTATGCATTTGATGGTTTTTCAAAATTTATACATTGGTTCGATTAAAATTTTCGTCAAAATTATACTAAGTCCGAATAACGGAGTGGAATTCGATCAGTGTTTACTAAAATGACAGGAATAAGAACATCTGGATTCCCTTCGGAGCTTCGTGCTGGTGAAGAGCTTTGTCCCGGCGGATTTCCACTGCGCCTGTAATCTCCTGGGCAGCATCGAAATTGTAAGTATTTTTTTTAAATATTATTCATAAGAAATAAACTAATTAAAAAAGCTTCCTGAGACAATTTTTTATTTTTATTTGAAAACAATAATATTTACCATTAATAAAATAAAGAAGCGAAAAATACATTCTCTCGAATAAACCGTATCTATGCATTGTAAGTATATTTCGATTTTATACTATGGCACGCATAAACCATTTTTATACTAAGTTTGCATTCTCTCCCTTTATACCGACCTTTGCGTCGGTACGGAGAGTTGCGATTTAGCGTAACTTATATACTATTTAGATTTCAATATTTTTTGAGTGTACTAAGCTCCAACACGCTAAGATCAGATAACCCAAATGTAGGTTTACTTTACCCAAATCAGGCGTAAACTGCACGAACTCAGATATAGGTAAATTTTTTAACCCAAATATGGGTAAATTTAAATCAAATTTGCCTAAAAATAAATCATTTATGGTTCACAAGAACCCATATTTGGGTTAAAAAAATTTACCCATATGTGAGTTTGTGCAATTTAAGGCCAATCTCGGTAATCTCTTTGTACCGTCTAGGCAAACTGATCTTAGCGTGAATGCTACCGACGCCAAGGAGGCAATTCCCACACCTGGACCCTACCAATCGACCCATCAACTCAACCGGGGACCAACGGCTTCCCGAATAGAAATTGTAATGTAGGAAACATCAGCAGACATCTTCAATACATTAAATTTTAACGTGTATTGC